TTTGCAGAGCTTGTTGGCTGCCTCATGTACCTGATGACCTGCACACGACCTGACCTCGCATACCCTCTTAGCATTCTCGCACGCTTTGTTGCTCCTGGGAGACACCGACCAGAGCACATGGCTGCAGCGAAAAGGGTGTTGCGCTACTTGTGCAGTACGTCGGGCATGGGGCTAGTGCTTGGAGGGCGCAGTCCAGTGGTCCTCACTGGGCACGCAGACGCTTCTTGGGCTGACGACCAGGCTACGCAGCGGTCGTCACAGGGTTACACCTTCAGCCTTGGTTCCGGCTCTGTCTCGTGGCGGGCTACCCGCTCGTCTTCTGTTCTCGGCTCCAGTTGTGAGGCTGAGATCTACGCTGGGGCTATGGCTGCACAGGAGTTACGCTGGCTCACCTACCTGCTGACCGACCTTGGAGAGCAGCCTCGTTCTCCTCCAGTCCTGTACGTAGACAACAAGGCCATGCTGGCCTTGTGTCGAGAGCAGCGACTGGAGCACAGAACGAAGCACATTGCTCTTCGCTACTTTCTTGCTCGTGAGCTACAGCAGCGTGGACAGCTGCGACTTGCGTACGTGGCCTCTGAGGCCAACACTGCTGATGTCTTCACCAAGGCACTTGCGCCTTGTGATCATCAGCGTTGCTGCACGCAGTTGGGTCTTGTGCCTGTCTTGCCTCACTTGCTCTCCTCTTGACCTTGCTTGTACTTTCGCATATATATACTCTTGCTCTTGTATATCTCTATATATGATCTTGCATGTAAACTGGCCTTGTGGCCTTTGAACTTGTGCTCGGAATGCGTGGTGACTTTGTGATCCACCCTGAGCTTTGCTTTGCTTTGCTTGACTGGTCTTGTGACCCCTTGTTCTCCCCCACTTTGCCTATGGGGGTGTGTCAGAACTTATAGCTTACTTGTTTCTGTAGGCTATAGTGGGGTATCCCATAGGGGGTACAACCCAATTAGGGTTTCCTATTTGTACTCACTTCGTTCATAGTCATTTCATTCTCGTTCTTTGTTTTCACAATCCCCCCTTAACTGCATGCAGGAATAGCAAAGCATAAATCACAACCCGGAAGTGTACTGAAAGCATTAGCACGCAAGAGCAATGACAACCAGTGCAGCAGTGGCAGAAACAACAGCAGAAACCCCTTAGCCAATACAGAAACGAAAGAAAGGTGCATGTGGCGCAGGTCGCCTGGAGAGCGGCGTGCGGCGGCAACAAGCGGCGGCACAGCAGGCTCAACGGCAGCACCTGCCGCTCAACAGCAGCAAACGAAAGAGACGAATTAAGTGGCAACAGGGGCTGCAGCTGGAGATGCCACAGGAGCAGGGGGTGGCAGTTGCAAATGCAGGGCTGCTGCTTCTGCCACTCTCTCTCTCATACCCTCCTTTATCCCCCCTTACCCTCTCTCCCCCCCCCTCCCCTCAGCAACAATTGCTGCAGGGAGAGAGGAAGAGGGAAGGGAGGGAGGAGTGGCAGGCTCCTCACACCCGCCCCCTCCCCCCAACCCCCCCCCCCACGACGGAAGGGAAGGGCGGCCGTCGCAGCTGCTGGCGGTGGCGCTGGCGGTCCGCGCAGGCGCTGGCGCTCGCGGCTGGCTGCAGCGTTGGCGCTCGCGGCTGGCCGTGGCGCTGGCGTCCTCGCTGGCGAAGGCGGATCGCGGGGCGACGGGGGGAGCGTGACGGACGAAAAGGGCGCACGGGCGCGACGCGAAACGAAGGGCCTGAAGAAAGCGAAAAACGGGACCCGCGGGGTTCGTCCACGGGGCGATTCGGGGGACCCGCGGGGCGCATTACGGGCGGCACGACGGGTGGGCCCATGATCATTAAAACAAAATAGGTCCTCAGGAGAAATTCCTGCTCTGATACCATGTCAAGATATGTTGCTAGGGTTTAGCCTTAGGAGCCATGTTGGGAGGTAGAGTGTGAGGGAGTTGGCAATGAAAGAGGACTTCACTATAGAGCTAAGGGTACAAATATGATAGGAAAGGGGGTAATCCACCAAACAGAATGTGATAACTACACTACTGCTATATCTACATGCAGTTACAATAATATAACTCTGACACCCCCCCCCCTCCCCCCCCCCCCCCCCCGTCACCTAACCACCCGACCCCGAAACCAGACGGCCGGCGAAAACAGTGGCTCTGCCGACCCCAGCGGAATGAAAAGGCAAGGAGAAAGTGCCAGAGCCAGAGGAGGACAGTGAGCACGAGCAACAACCGTGTGGCATGTCTGATGATGATGATTAAGCTTGTTATTGTGTGCTGTGTTAATAACAACTGAAACATGGTTTTGCGAATTGGTACACTGATGCCTCAGGGTAGTCGTTTTAATACATGCAAAAACCCTGGCGCATCAGGTTTTCCACAACGGGTAACCCTGAACATCAGGTTTTTGAACAGGTGCTAGACTGATCGTAAGGGTTGGTCAAAACCAAAAATGAGCCCTGGTCTGAAGGTTATAATATATTTCACAAGAGGATGGCAAGAATGATCCATATGAAATGGATTTCAATAATATTTATTATTATTTCTATCATTAACCTAGGCTGATTTCGAATGGTTTTGCGTGTATATTCATGTGGCGCCTTAGATTTTAGGGTCACAATTGTACCGAACTACACCAGTGAAATATCTACACTGGACTCTGTTGCAAATATACGGTACCTGAAGTTCTCACAATTGCTCTTCACCGCATTGCACCCTGGTCATTGCAGTCATCATCCCACAGCGCCACGTTTGAATCCGCGAAAGTCCCCAAGGATTCTATAGATGGGCCTCGGGGTGGCGCGAATCCCGATCTGTGATATGCTTTTTCTATGGTGATTCTACGGACCATACCACACACCTGATCACAGTTCTCCATAAGCGTGTCGCACGGACGGCGCGTTCTTCGATCGCGGCCGCCGTTCGACTTAGCATCATTGACTCCTCGCGTCGAAAGAATCTAGAATTCTATGTTTGCGTGCTGGCTCGTAACGGTTCGTGAGCGCGGGTAACACCACGAAGGCGGCAGCAGCGTGATGGCGAACGATAGCGATAGGGAGGGTCAGACAGACACGGGCAGGGCGCTGCGGGTGGTGTCGCTGCTGGGAGCGGCGAGCGAGGTGATGGCGGCGCTAGGGCTGGCGCATCTGCTGGTGGGCCGGTCGCACGAGTGCAAGTTCCCGCCGTCGCTTCTCGCGCTGCCGTGCGTGTCGTCGCCCGCGCTGGGGCCGGATCTCGAGCAACAGAGCTGTGCGACGGTGCACGACAGGGTGAGTCGCAGAGCTGTGCGATTGCGACAAGAGGTTGAGCAGCGGGCAAGAGAAGGTGGCGTAGATATTTTCGAAAATGCATAGTGGAGTTTCATTCAACCACTAGCGTGAAATGACCGCATTTGCGTAGACAGGGTGGATCGCAGCCTCCCCCCTCTCCCCTCTCCCTTTTCCCCCTTGCGTAAAACCGAATCGCAGCTGTCGGAGCGCGTGCGCAAGGGCCTGTCGCGGTACCACGTGGACGTGGAGGCGATTCGGCGGTTGCAGCCGGATGTGATTATAACGCAGGACGCGTGCGACGTGTGCGCCGTGACTGCATCGGACCTCCAGGCGGCGTGCGCGGAGTACTTCGCGCAGCGCGACGACGCGGGGCGCGCGTGCCACGTGGTGTCGCTGCGACCAATGAGCGCGTCCGACGTGTGGGACAACATGCTTCAGATCGCCACGGCGATCGGGCACAGCGACAAGGGCCGCGCGCTTGTGGAAGATTTACAGGCGCGCTGGGCGCGCGTGCGCGCGCAGGTTCCGCGGGGCGCGGAGGGGGCGTGCGCGCGCCCGCGTGTGGTGTGCCTGCAGTGGGTGCGGCCGCTGATGGGCGCGGGGTACTGGGTGCCCGAGATCGTCGCGTGCGCTGGCGGGGAGAGCCTCTCGGGGAAGGTGAGACTCGGGGAGGTTGCATGGGGGGAAGGTTTATGGGAAACATGTGAAGCGGTATGAGAAAGGCAAGGGACTGGGGGGAGTGGGAAACACGGCCATTCTTTTTCCCGTGCGCTCTTGGTGTGCCTGCGATGACTGCAGCCTTCCCTCCTCCCCCCCTTCCACCCTTGAATGCCATTTCTCCATCGGCCCACACCGTTTTCCGTTCCCTACCATTCACTTCCTTTCTCTCAGCCCAACCCCCCTGTATTTGCCCCTTTGCCACCCACCCCCTTTTCCTACCCCTCCCCCCGCCCTTATCAGCCTGGGGAACGTACTGCAATACTCTCCTTTGAGGCCCTTGTCTCTCTCGATCCGGACGTAATCATCACCATGTGCTGCGGCCTTTCAAAAGAGGCCATTCTGAAGGAGCTCCTGACCTCTGAGGATTTGCCGCAGTGGAACCGGTTGAGAGCGGTGCAGAGGGATGCGGTGTTTGTGGCGGATGGGGACCGATACTTCAACAACTCAGGGCCCACCCTTGTTGAATCTGCTGAGATCATGCTGGAGATGCTGCATGCTCACCGCTTCCAACCACACAGAACCGCATCGAACCACTCCGATGGTGCGGTTGCCGCCGGTGCCCCTGGTGGTGCTGGTGCGGATGACACTACTCCTCTTCGCTCCTGCCTCCCCAGCTCCAATGCCAATGGCTTAGTGTGTCAAGAAGGAGAGAAGATCCCAGGGGTTGAGGTCAAGTATGAGGGGACGGCCTACACGCACCTGACAGGCGGGTGTGTGGAGGCTTGGCGCGCTTCCGTGGGATGGCAGGCCTGACCTGTAGGGAGGGGGCAATTTCCGTCATTGCTGCTGTGCTCTGGACCAAGAGCGTGTGACCATGGAGCCAGGGGGCGTGGGAGAAGAGCAGGGTGGAAGCTAGACCATCTCTCAGCAAGCTCGTTGTTAATGCAGCAAGAGTTCAGGGGTGCAGTATCGGGCGATGTTGCGTTAGCTGGGGTGTACGTGCAGAATCGACGCAGAATAAATTGGATAGTTGAGGAAGCACCCCTCCAATTGCATGAGCAAATAAGGAATGGATATCGGTACAACTAGATTGACAATGGTGAAGTGCGATCACATAAGTGTTCAAGCTCCGTTGCAACGTGGAGGAGTCTCTCATCCTCATTCCACATCCCAATAAGCGTGACTCCCACGGGAAGATAATCCTTTTTACTCTCCCCTTTGCTCTCATCAGCAGTACCAGTGCCACCCTCGTGTGTGCAGCTGCCAGCAGCAGCACTCCCAGGTGAACCAGCAGCAGCAGGTGTGAGGGCGACGGGCACGGTGACAGTGGGCAGGCCAGCATGGCTCCAGGGGATGGAAATGATGGGATCTCCTGCTGTGCCTGCTCGGGAGGTGGGCGCATGAGACGAGAGGGGCAGCGTCACTTTTGAGACATCTCAAAAACCACATCTCAAGGCACTCATGACAACCACACATCTCACTAGCAGGAGTGGCCGCAGGCATGAGTATCAGCAACAATAGAGACCAGGGTAATAGTTCGGTCAATTCCCTGTGTTCCCCACACCTTGATGGATGGGTGGAGGGAAGCCGGTGGCAGCAGGGGCAATGAATGCCTCAGCACCTTCCTGCCTCAGCTGCTGCTGCAGTGCATGCCGCAGCGCCACACACGATGCTGCCGCCTCCTCCTCTGTCACCCCCCGCCCAGTGGCGACCAGCTCCATGAGCTGGCGCGGAAAAGAAGGGGCGTCAAAGTCTTTCAAGTCAACTCAAAACTCTCCTCCTTGGTCACCCTGTGCCCCGTTGTGACCAGCTCCATGAGCTGTAAAACCGGAAGAGGAAGTGGGGAAGTGGGCGCGGGGAGGAAGATTGGGGGGAAACTGGAAAACGTTCCGATTGCAATGAATGCTGGCCAAAATAGTGCCGCCATTCGCCCCCCCCACCAATGCTCACGCTGTCGCGCATCGCGCAGCTCTGCGACTCACCCTATTGCGCAGCTCTGCGACTCAACCTATCGCGCACCTCTGCGACTCACCCTATCGTGCAGCTCTGCAACCACCCTGTCGCGCATTATCGCACAGCTCTGCGACTCACCTTGTCGTGCACCGTCGCACAGCTCTGCTGCTCGATATCCGGCCCCAGCGCGGGCGACGACACGCACGGCAGCGCGAGCAGCGACGGCAGGAACTTGCACTCGTGCGAGCGCCCCACCAGCAGATGCGCCAGCCCTAGCGCCGCCATCAACTCGCTCGCCGCTCCCAGCAGCGGCTCTGCTCGCGAGAACAAGTCACACGCGCAACCTTGCTGACACCAGCAGTGAAACTCGCCGAACAGACGTTATTTTTTTTTTTTAAATTTCAGAAGAGACATATTCGATTGAAAAGGCAAGATACATCAGTTGTTGATTATCTTGCAAAGCTGGGACGTCGTAAGGCGAGAGGAGCAACGCACCAAGCTGTTGCTTTTGCTCCCAGCTATTGCTAAGAAGTTCCAAGAAGAGAAAAGAAGGCTAGAGGAGTAAACGACGCTGGAAATGTTAAGATTCAATCTCGATGTAAGAAGCGTGCGGCTGATGAGGTTAGAAAGCGTGCGATCGCCAAGCAAGAGTATTTGCTCACTGAGAACTTGAGAGTTAAAATCGCCATTCCTAGGAAGAAATTGCTCGTCAACAATTACAATGGTGCTTTCTGTTTGTTTGATCGTGCTTGAGTCTGAGTCCAGTACTTAGGGCGCTTCACCTGTCGGTTCGAACAACACACTCGTTCGAACAGGCGAAACGTTACTCGTTTCGCCTATGTTCGTAGTGGTTTTCGTGGCGTCGCGAAGCACAATTTCGCCAATTTGAACAGAGCTGTCACCTCAAGCACGATTTTCATCATCCCGCACGTTCGAACACGTTTGTTCGAACAGGTTGGGATAGGTGACACACAAATTCCGCACAAACGACTGATATGATTGGTCCACAGTCTTCCGGGTCGCCCATGAACGTTTGCGACCCGGCCAGACGTCGCCAATGTTTGGGACCCAATGTTTGGCGACGTCGCTCTTTTGTGGGCGACGTCGCTGTGTTCGAACAGACCGCGTGTGCGAATAGCGATGGCGTCACCTGTGATGGCCTGTGTCACATTCGCTTATTGTACGTATTTGTGCTCGAACTCATTTGGGATACTGTTCGTACAGTCAAACTGATACGTCGGTTCGGATTTTGGCCTTCCGCCCCTCAGGTGAAGCGCCCTTACGAAGTAATTCCGCTGAGGGATTTGTATTCCGTGTCAGGTCAAGATAAAACATGGGGGGCAATAATAAAACATGTTTTTTCAAGGGGGTGGGCTTATAATCGAGTAAAGTTATAAGCGCCGGCGTTTATAAAATGACATTCATATTTTTTATATTTTTTAACACCAAACTGTAGGTCTCGTGCTTGCCCTTTCAATCGAGTCGAATTTACATGGGGTCGTCTGTGAAATTCTCGCGCGCGCTGGGAGACACACCCAATCTGACTCACATCCAGCTCCTGACAGCTCCTGCTGACTGGACCCGCATCCAGTGCAGGGTCCGAATGTGAAGGGAACCGAATCTGCAACATATCTGCCTGCTAAAGTAAAAATCATTACAACGTTTTGTACACATTTCAAATTTTAAAGTTTACGTGCGCTTATAATAAAACTAGTTTTTTCAGGGGGTGCGCTTATAATCGAGGAGGGGATATAAGCGCCATATGCCAATTAGAAGCGCCAGGCGCTTATCCTAGGGTGGCGCTTATATCCGGGGGGTGACGGTACAAGGAAGCGATCTCCAACTAGTGACTACAACCAGCTTCAAATTATTATAATTTTTAAACACACATGTAGTGTTTTTTAAAATTGTGTATTGTGAAAGCGAAACTGCTTGTACTGCACAATTGGCATCGTCGAAGCGCGCTAAACGCCCTTCTCCAACTACAAAAACCGTGGGTTGGAGCTCATTTCCCTCCACCCACGTTTCTCAATTTTCAAACGGCTCACTCAACATTTTCCGCTCGAGTAGTTTTTCCCTCCAAGCTGGCTAGGATTAAATCGCTTCCTAGAGGCGAGTCACCCTCTACTTTACTCAGCGACATTTTCAACTTCAATCGCTCAACGATGGCACCTACGCCGACACTTAACAACGGGAACTCGTCAACCCCCGCTTCCGACTCCGACCGTAACGCCCGCGATTCTGCGGGCGAACGCCGTAACAAGCGTCGGGCAGAAGACGGACCTTCCGCCCCGACTGCAGTGGACGTGCTGCTGGGCGGGCTCGAGGTCCACAAAAACGCCGAAACCCAGCAGCACCCTTCGGTCCCTGTGGCGCCAGTGGCGCCTGTGGCGCCAGTGGCGCCTGTGGCGCCAGTGGCACCTGTGGCGCAAGTGGCGACGGGGACTGGCGCGGCACACGCGACTGACGCCGAGCACACGCCAGCACCCGCTGCTGGACCGTCGCGTCAGCGTCAGAGGAGGCGGACTGCAGTCTCCTCGTCTGACGCGACCGCCGCCCCTGCGCTGACGCAGGCGTTGACCCCGGACCAGGTCAACGCGCTGCTGTCCCTTCTACAGCAGCAACCCGTCAGCGTTACAGCCGCGGAAACTGCACTACCCGCCGCATCTGCGTCGGCTAAAAAAGAAACTGCAAAAAAGGAGAAAGGCACACGGGGAGCACGGACGAACCGGCATGACAACGACGCAGCGACTGCCGCTCCCCCTGCTCCAGCGGTCGACAACGACACCGACGACTCTGAAGATGAAGCCGGTGAGGCTCCAGTCAACAATGTTAATTTTATTGGCACGGAAAACCTTCCCCCCCTCCCTTCTTCTAATCTTACCTTCTCGGCGGCAACCTTCGTCAACGACTCCGTGCGAGAGCAAGCGGAGCTACTGGAGGACCTGCGGGCGTACCTGCTGCACGCCGAATACAAGGCGCAGCGCGGTGATCCGGCGGGCGGACTCGAACTCATCTCACACGCTCTCAACCTCATCGCGGGGCGTTTCGAGGTGCTTCAAGTGGAGGACGCCTCCGACTTTCGCACGGCGAAGCGCTTTAAGCTGTACCAGCAGAAGAGCCTGCTGACTTCTCGACCCTTCAAGCAGGCGGTCGCGGACATGGCGGCGATGGACCGTGCGGCAAGCGGATACGCTCGTGTCAACCGCGGCGGAAACAACGGGCCGATGCCGTTCTTACCCAAGCGAGGCCCCCCGCCCACGGCCAATTGCCGTGGGTTCCGGGGCTCATGCTTCCGCTGCGGCCAGCCGGGCCACGTGGCAAGTGCCTGCCCTCGGAACGGGCATGGAGGCCAGGGACCCGCTCCGGTGGTGTAGGAGCGGGCCATGAGACTAGGCGCTTGGGCGCTAGGCACGGTGCACTCTTGAGTGCGAAAACCGTGGGCAACCCTAGGGGTTTGCGATGGCAAGAGGCCAGCCCTAGTAAAGGGTGGGATAGGCTTGGGCCTAGGATAGGGAAGGGGAACAACAACCCCTCGGTCCCATATGTTGGCCACTTGGTGGCATGCTAGGAAAGCATTGCTATGTGTGTTGGTTGATTTAATAAAAACTACCTTCCTAAAGGCCTATGGTTTTGGCAAAGAGACTATGAAAATCAAGAGGAGGAGCAGAGAGAGAGAGAGAGAGAGAGAGAGAGAGAGAGAGAGAGAGAGAGAGAGAGAGAGAGAGGGAGAGAGAGAGAGAGAGAGAGAAAGAGAGAGAGAGAGAGAGAAAGAGAGAGAGAGAGAGAGAGAGAGGGAGAGAGAGAGAGAGAGATAAGAGAGAATGAGAGAAAGCACAATGGACAACGGTGTCCATGGCCCTAGGCATCAGCCCCTACGCACTAAGGGCAGGCACAACCATGTCCTACCAAGTGGACGACGGGGCAAGAAAAAAAAAAAAAAAAAAAAAGGGGAAACGAGGAGAAGAAGAGACATGCGTTGACGTGCGTTAACATCACCGACACATTCGTTGACATTTCATTCAATTGTTCATTCTCTTCACACCTTCGATCAATGGTTGCCCGTACAAGTACATGCATACGCATGCTTTAACGTAGAATAATCAAAGCTTATACCACTTGGCCTCAAATGTACAGGAGCACGACGGTGCGAGGCGGCATGCCACGACGATCCGTACGAATTTGCCGTTACAGACAGAACTATTACACACATGCGCGGTCGTCTTCGCGCGACATTTGCGTGGTGGAGCTCATGGTGCCCCAACAGCCTTGTCCTCTCCGTCATCGCCAAGGGTTACTGGTTGACATGGAGCCACGGCCCACCGCAACATTTCCACGATCGCAATCATGTCGGGGCAAACACGCATGCCACGTTCACACGTACCGCCATCCAAGAACTCATAGAGACGGGAGCGGCAATTCCGATGGCCGCAACGGAGCTTACATGCATAAGTCCACTCAACGTGGTCGAGCAAAAAGACAAATGCAGGCTCATTCTTGATCTGAGGAAAGTCAACGCCAACTTGATCATCCCCAAGTTCAAGTACGAAGGGCTCAGCCGCGTCGCCGACCTTGCGCGCGTTGGGGACTGGATGTTCTCCATTGACCTCAAATCTGGTTACCACCACATCGACATCCACCCATCGTGCTGGAAGTTCCTTGGCTTTGAATTTGATAAGCGCACATACGCATTCCGTTCACTACCATTTGGCCTCGCGACAGCTCCATTCGTTTTCACGCAACTCATCAAGCAACTAGCTCGGCGTTGGCGAGAACAAGGCATCCGAGTCGTACCTTACGTGGACGACATCTTATTTCTCTGCCAGTCGAAAGAGGGCGCGCAAGCAACTTGCCAGCGGGTGATATTGGATCTTAAAGAGGCAGGCCTTGTGATAAACGCGAAGAAATCACAACTGTCACCATCGCAGCATCTCCGATTCCTGGGCGTAGAACTCGAGACCGATACCGGCCGATTCTCCATCGGTCCGGACCGACGAGCCTCACTACATGCAACCATCCGGAACCTCCTGAGCGCAAGCAAGGCATGCCGACCAGTCCCGGTCCGCCACGTGGCCAGAATCACTGGCATGCTCGCATCGATGGGTGTCGCACTTGGCGCGACAGCTCGCGCATTCAGCCATGCTATGTTACAAGTGATCGACGACGCACCGTCATGGAAAAGCAGCGTCGTTATCCCCCCATCCGCAGCAGAAGAGCTCCAATTTTGGCTCGAGGAGTTCGACCGTTTCAACGGCGCACCTTTTCACGTCAAGAACAGCTACGAC